TCATTTGCCCAATTACTTTGGTTCCTTGAAAAAAGGGGCGTGGCTACTCTTAAGAGCTGTAATTTCTAAACCCTTCCTCCAATTTGGATGTACATACCCTCAAATTAAACCCAAGAGTGTACACTTTCAGCCCATATCCATTATATAACTATAGCTTGAATATGTTTTTAGAAAATACCTGAAAAATCTAAAATTGTGCCCGTGTCCAAATATATATGGACCTAACTGTATATATACACACACATATACATTCTACGGGGGCCTGTGAATGTATGCTATTTGAGTACAGAGTACTTTCAAGTAATCATATTTATATCACCATGGAATGAAAGTTTATTTGGACACTTTGGACATTGTTTATGTTTTTTGGGTTTTTTTTGGAAACTTTGGATACTCTTTACTTTTTTTTTTGAGTAATAGTGGTATACACTTGAACAGTTGCACCATTCATGAACAGCTTGCTTACTGCTGTGATCTGTGATAGCGCCACACAGCAGTCACATGATACCTGACTACCTGTACCATGTGATTAACTGCAGCCAATCACAACCATAAGCAAGCGGTTCATGAATGGGAAATGCTCTATTTGTGTGAAAAAAAAAATTATATAAATTTCAATTACGTACAGTGTTGCATGACCGCACAAATGTAAATTAAAGTAGCACAGTGCTGAATAGCAAAAAAAAAACCACAAGAGTCATGAATTGGTAAAACCTTCCAGAGGTCAAGTGGTTAAGGTAAAAAAATCTTAAGCCTTTAGAACCACTTTAAAGGTAAATCTCATGGTGGCCATATACAGTTTGATGAATGATCATTTTCTTTTTCAATCGATCTCTTCAGATAAGGATGTTAATCTATATAAGCCACACACGGGGAAGTGGATTTCGATCAATAGTTAAGATATGATCTTAATTTACAATCATAAGTTATCAATCGTATCTTTGTTTCACCGTGTAACCTCACAATCTGATTGATCAAATCATATTCATGAACAAAGTATTTCAGGAATGCCAATTTCCACCCTGGTTGATTGGTTTGATCAGATCTGATTTAAATTGAATCTACATCAACGAGGAAGGAAATTATGTTATGCTTGCTGATTCGATAATTTTTATCAAACTGAGTTTACTGGCCAGGGTGGAATATTATTGATAATTTTGCATCAGTCAGCAGTACTGGGATACTTAGTTCATGAAAACAACTGTATTTCCATCATTTGGATTATGAAATTACATGGTGGAAACAGTGATGTTGTATCTTAATTATCGATCACAATCAACTTACCTGTGTGTGGCATATAAATAACATATGTTTGTAAATTATGACCATATCTTAAAGTGGCACTAAAGGCAAAACATTTGTTTTTCTTTTTGGAAAGAGTATGACTAGGTTCACACATGTGCACTGATATGCAACAATGATGGGCACTGATGGGCAGCACTGATGGGTGGCACTGAGATGGGTGGCATGGATGCTAGGGGCACTGATGGGTGCACACTGCTGGCAGCACTGATGGGTGGCACTGCTGGGCACAGGTGAGTGGCAATACTAGCACTGCCGGGCACACACATGGGTGGGCACTGCTGGGAACTGATTGGCACAGGTGTGGGTGGCACTGCTGACAGGTGGGCAGCACTGATGGGCAGCACTGATGGGTGGCACTGATGGGTGGCACTGCTGGGCAACTGATGGGTGGCACTGCTGGGCACTGATGGGTGGCACTGAAATGGGTGGCACTGCTGGCACTGGGGATGGGTGGCACTGCTGGGCACTGCTGGGTGGCACTGCTGGGCACAGGTGAGTGGCAATACTAGGCACTGCCAGGCACACATGGGTGGCACTGCTGGGAACTGATTGGCACAGGTGGGTGGCACTGCTGGACACAGGTGGGCAGCACTGATGGGCAGCACACTGATGGGTGGCACTGCTGGGCACTGATGGGTGGCACTGCTGGGCACAGGTGAGTGGCAATACTAGGCACTGCCGGGCACACATGGGTGGCACTGCTGGGAACTGATTGGCACAGGTGGGTGGCACTGCTGGGGCACTTGTGGGCGGCACTGCTGGACACAGGTGGGCGGCACTGGTGGGTGGCACTGCTAGGCACTGATCATCAGTGCCGATCCGTCCTCTGACAATTGACAGTTATCGGCAGTACCTTCCTGACATTGTGACAGCGTGAGGAAAGTGCAGCCAACAACCGACAACTGCATTTACAGGTGATATGCTGTGTCATTGGACACAGCTGATCACATGGTAAAAGGCTGCCGTTATTGTGCTTTTTCCAAATCACAATCACTATTGTCCATATGATCGTGCTCCTGGGTGCGTGGGGGCGCGCGGGAGGGTGCGTTCTGGGAGGATGTCATATGACGTCCTCCCAGAACTGGCCAACCACGCTGTAGCCGTCATTCGGCTATAGCACGGTTGGTAAGTGGTTAATTATACAACTTCTGAGGCAAATTTATTGCAGATAAGGCACAAAGTTAGTTTAATTACCACCATAATCAGCCTCAGAACTGTTACACCTCAACCTCTGTGTAATTAATATGTGTTCGGTTTTAAAGGGATGAGGGGTTCGGTTCACGGTCGAACATTCAAAACATACTCAAAGTTCACCCGTGAACTTCGAACATGGACAATTTACTGAGCGGTATCTTACCACATCTGAGTATGCAGTACCGCTCAGTTACTAAAATAACTGCGTGAGTTTTATTATTTTAATAGTGAAACATTAAAAAATAATTGTCGTCATTGCCAGACAATTACATTTAAAAAAAAAACTGTGGGTCTGGTATGGATTTTGAGGGGAACCCCCACGCCAAAATAAAAAAAAATGTCATAGGGGTCCCCCCCAAAATCCATACCAGACCCTTATCCGAGCATGCAGCCTAGCAGATCAAGAGGGGGGGGGGACAAACGAGCATCCCCCCCCTCCTGAACCATACCAGACCACATGCCCTCAACATGGGGGGTTCATTGGGGCGGGGGGGCTCCCTCTCTGAGCACCTTGTCCCCACCTTGTCCCCATGTTGATAGGGACAAGGGCTTCTTCCCCACAACCCTGGCCATTGGTTGTGAGGGTCTGCAGGCGGGGGGGCTTATTGGAATCTGGAAGCACCCTTTAACAAGGGGGCCCCAGATCTCATGCCCCCCATGTGAATGAGTATGGGATATATGGTACCGCTACCCAGTCACAAAAAAAAAGTGTAGTGTTACAAATGGACAGGAGACAAGTCTTTGTCAAGTCCTTTATTAAAAACAAAATTATAAAATGTCCCCCCAAATCACAATGCCCGCTGCCATCTCCAAACTGAAAAATAAAAACGTTCCGCTCTCAACGCTGGCTCCCTCCGTCTGACAGCTGTGCCGTTATGATAGTTCTTAAATACTGTGATGACGTCACATGCAGTGTGATTGGTCAGGTGCATTTCTTTGGCCAATTACAATGCACTGTCAGGGCCCAGTGCATTGTGGGGCACGTTCGGCTCAAACATGAAGCCCATCTCTACTGACAACCAATTCAATCAATTGATATGCACAGGGAAGTGGCTTTCAATCAATATTTAAAGCAAAATTTCACCCAAAAGGAGGTTTTGTTTGTTTGCACACCCCCCCCCCCCCCTCCACTGCCTGATTTGGTACTTTTTGGGATGAGTGGGTACTTGGTTTTTGACAGGTACCCTCTCCCACCTCTGAGTCAGATTGCCATGATGATCTGTGAGGAAGTTTGCCCCGCACAGTCTTCTGGGGGACACACAGATGCCAGAAGACTGAGGGACCATTCACAAAACACAGAGTGGCTCACGCATGTGCAGTAGGAAATGGGCTGTGAAGCTGGAATGCTTCACTGCCGGTTTCCATTACATATGATGTCAGTGCCTGCACACAAAGCCAATTGAAGAATCGCCTCGGGTGAGGACAGCGCTGGATCCCTGGACAGGTAAGTGTCCTTGTATTAAAAGTCAGCAGCTACAGTATTTGTAACTGCCGACTTTTAATTTTTTGGGGGAGACTTGAGTTCCTCTTTAAAGTGGTTGTAAACCTCAGATATGAAAAATGAACAAAGCATATACCTCTATAGTGTATATGTGTTCTAATCAAGAGCACTAAGTGTCATTTCAGTCTGGTTCCTCTGCTATCAGCATGAGTCACTTCTGACAAGTTTTCCTAACACCAAGAGCAAAAATGTGACAGGGGAGGGCGCAGTCTATGATTGACATCCTCAGCTCTGTTCCAGTGTGCAGTGTGAAGGTGGTGGTGGTGGTGGGGGGGATTCCTTTCTTCCAATCAGCTCTCAGAGCTCTCCTTACTGGTGTAATTCCAGCTCCCTGGCCACCTGCTTTTCAGAGCTGAGAGGTCCTGTGTAAATCCTACACTTTGAATGGATGTAGGCGACAGACAGCCATAGATACACAGGTACAACTTATGTAGGATGATTTGTTTAGTCTCTGTATCACCTGAAGTCAGTCACTTCACTGGTTATAGGTAGAGGTTTACAACCACTTTAAAGAGGATCTTCTCTCCACCCCAAATACTGTAGCTGCTGTCTTTTAACAACTTGATCTCCTGAGGATTTACCCCCTTCCTAACCAGACCATTTTTTGTGTTACGACGCTGCGTTACTTTAACTAACAATTGTGCGGTCATGCAATGCTGCATCCAAATCAAATTTACGTCCTTTTTTTCCAACGAATAGAGATATCTTTTGGTGGTATTTGATCACCTGTGCGTTTTTTATTTTTTGCGCTATAATATTTTGAAAAAACACAATATTTTTGACTTTTTGCTATTAAACATGTCCTGTAAAAAAAATTTAAAAAAATCTAATTTCATCATAAATTTAGGCCAAACTGTATTCTGCTCCTTGTCTTTGCTAAAACAAAATCCTAATATGTGTAAATTAATTGGTTTACATGAGAGTTATAGCGTTTACAAATGTCGGTATATATACTGGAATTTTTTTGTTTGTTTCTTGTATTACTAGTAATGACGATGATCAGCGACTTATAGCGGGACTGCGGCGAGCATTCTGACACTGGAGTGAACTGATTTGGTGTCACTGACATCCCCTGTGACACCAATACAGTGATCAGTGCTAATAAAAAGCCCTGACACAGTACTAATGGCACTGAGCAGGAAGGGGTTAACATCTGGGAAGATCAATGGGTTAACTGTGTGCTGTTTTGCTGTGTGGGCTGTGTCCCTGTTTTGCTATGTGGGCTGTGTGTCTGTTTCACTATAAGCACATTGCTTTGTAAGGCTCTGCTATGCAGAGCCATACAAAGCAGTGTGCAGGAGCTGATAGGAGAGAGATCTTTTTTGTTTACATACAGGTCTCTCCCCCGTTGGAAATCCTTGGAGATCTCTGGGTGCTGGCAGGGAATCACCGGTCAATACCCGGTGAGTGACAGCAGAGGCGGCAAATTACGTCGTAGGTAGGGCGCGCATGGCTTGTGTGCGCCCCCTACCCGGAACTGCAAAATTACACACACACACACACACATATATATATATATATATATATATATATATATATATGTGATTTTGTGCACCTATGCCACCCTGTAGCAGTATTTATGCTATAGGGTGGCGCAGAACCGGTTAATAAAAGGAAACTTACCTGTCCAGGGGTCCAGCTCTGTCCTCACCAGGTCCAATTTTTCATCGGTCTTCAGGTCCCTGGCATGTTTACTGTGGGAAGCCAGTTGTGACTCCTTGCAACTTCACAGCTGGCTTCCCATGGCACATGTGCGAAATTTCATTCAGATCACCCAAGTAGGAGGAAGTACCTATCAAATCTAGGTAATTGCTCTTCCAAAAAAAATGTGTCCATACGTGGGAAAGGAAGAGAGGGGGAGGGGGTTAAGGAGGCAGAAAACTTTAACATATGATCAGAACTTACAAACTGTGTGATCTCACCGAATGCAAAGTAATCATATTATGGTGGCCATACACACTTCAATAAATGATTGATTTCCTTTCTGGTCAATTCCTCCCTATCAGAATAATTGGCCTATGATCAACACCCATTTGATCAATATGCCACACACAGGGAAGTGCATTTCAGTTGATAGTCAAGATGCTATCATAACTTACAAAAATAAGTTCTCATTTACATCATTTTCACCATGTAATCATATAATCTGATCGACTTAAAAACAATCATATTACAGTGGATATACACTCTACGTTAAATGATTGATTTCTTTTCTGATCAATCTCTCCCAATAGCAATATTCAATCTACAGCCTACAACCCATTTGATCAATATGCCACACAAACAGGAAGGAGGATTTCAATTGATAGTTAAAATATAATTTTAATTTATGAACATAAGTTATTGATCCTAAATCGTAAATTTATTGATTGACTGATTACCACCATGCAACCACATAGCCTGATTGAATGAAATATGATCATATTAGGGTAGCTGTGCACACTTCAATAAATGATCGATTTGTTTTCCAAATCAATTCCGTCTATATGCCACACATGGGGAAGTGCATTTCAAGCAATAAAGTGTAACTTTTTTTAGTTTTGGATAGAATGGAGAGGATTAGATAGACTGTCAGGTTTTATTGCTGTCATTGCCCCCATTAGGGAGATTCCCCCTCTCTATTTCTCCTGTTTACAGTTATCATGGAAAGTAAAAATAAAAGAAAATCCTACATTTTGGGTTGTCTCCAGAACAGTAAAAGAGGGGAAAGCTTTCAAAAGGGACACTAGCTCTGATGTCCCTGGTGATAACCAGGACTCCCCTCACTTTGAAGGTATTTCCTCTCACTTCCTATTTAGACTATAGAACAGGAAGTGAAGGAAAATCTCCCATATGGGGCACAGATGACAAAAAAAGCTGACAGGTGTTATAACCCCCCTTCCCTTCCCTCTTGGGCTGGGTTCACACTATAGTGCCATGTTGTGTGGGCACTGCAGCCCATTCATTTGAATGGGCTGCCATGCCTGCTAAAAATGCAAGGAAATGGTCCCTGCTTCATTTCTTAAATTGAAAACTCAAGTGCAGTGCGGTTCCCCATGCGGGGAATTCCAGTGTGTGCGGGTGCCTTTAGGATTAATGGCACCCGCACGCATCTCCTGAGTGGCAGCACAATTTTTCCATGCAGGTGGTTGCGGCTGCAGGAACAGGTATGGTCCCACAGTGGCAATCAGTGCCTAGCAGTGCCACCCACCAGTGCCGCCCACCTGTGTCCAGCAGTGCCGCCCACAAGTGCCCCAGCAGTGCCACCCACCTGTGCCCATCAGTTCCCAGCAGTGCCATCCATGTGTGCCCGGCAGTGCCTAGTATTGCCACTCACCTGTGCCCAGCAGTGCCACCCATCAGTGCTGCCCAGCAGTGCCATCCATCAGTGCTCAGCAGTGCCACCCATTAGTGCCACCCATCAGTGCCCATCATTCATTGTTGCATATCATTGCAGCATCATCAGTGCCGCCTCATCAGTGCCAGCTCACCAGTGCCGCCTATCAGTGCTGCCTATCCATGCCACCTCACCAATGCCCCCTATCAGTGTCCATCAGTGCTGCCTATCAGTGCCCATCAGTGCTGCCTATCAGTGCAGCCTCATCAATGTACATCAGTGAAGGAGAAAAAATACCTGTTTGCAAAATGTTATAATAGAAACAAAAAAAACTTTTTTTAAAAATTTTTTTATTCTTTTTTTTGTTTGTAGTGCAAAAAATAAAACACCCAGCGATGAATAAATACCACCAAAAGAAAGCTCTATTTGTGTGAAAAAAATGATTAAAATTTCATATGGGTACAGTGTTGCATGACCGCACAATTGTCATTTAAAGTGCGACAGTGCTGAAAGCTGAAAATTGGCCTGGGCAGGAAGGGGGTATAAGTGCCTGGTAGGCAAGAGGTTAATATGTGTTCAGTTTTAAAGGGATGAAGTGGCAACCCTAGGTGTTCCACCCATCACTAGTTGTCAGGTATAGATGGATTATTATTCCTATCGGAAATGGATTGATGAGATGAAATCAATGATTTCTGGAAGTGTGCACAGCCTCTATAATGGAGATTGTCCAATCATATTATCTAGTGAATAGCCCGTTATGTATTACTAGGTATGACATTTCAGCATTGCTCTTTGTCCTGATAGAATGTAAGATTGTATCTAGTGATGATGATGGTGGGAATGATGAGCGGTGACAGCCTGTGTCCATTCCTGTAGTGATCGGTACAGAGAGAACACAGTGTAGCCTTGACATCTCCGGGCAGTCAGTGGGTGTATCCTGCTAGTCCTCAGGGTGGGAGCAGGGAGGGCTTCTCTACAGGACAAGGGGATTTGTGACAGCAGCATCGTCCCCGGATCTCCATCCTCCCTGGCTGTCACCCGATCACAGCTCACTGACAGATCGGCCGCTCCCCCCCACCCCCGCACCCTCGCTGTGATTGGCTGGCTGTCAGTGAGCCCAGAGCCCGATGTGATGGGAGTGTCAGCACCATGGACGGTCCGCATCCCCCTTCTGGGGGGGCCCCGGTGTAACTCGATGCACGCCGCTCAGCCTCCCAGTATATTGTCCTCTCTTGTTTATAGAAGCCTCCACCCACCGGCCCACCCTAGATTTAGCAGATCATGTGATCCCGGTAAGTCATTTGCAAGTACAACAGTTCTGTGTGTGTGTGTGTGAGTGTGTGCCCCATTCATTTCCTGAGAAGTGTGTGTATGTGTGTGTGTATGAGGAAGGCACAGACAGGGGACTCTCTCCACCAAACCCTTTCCTCCTGAGCTCTGCAGCTCCATCTCAGGTCTGTGATCCTTCATTTCTTATCCGACATGCATTTCCATCTGTCCCACCATACCGATTCATATCATTTATTCTTCATCTCAATTGTCTGATGCTACAAAAGTCCACCGATCTGTAATGTGTATCTGTATTGACTAGTCTGTGTGCTTAGAGTCTCATTAAATGAAGCAGCAGAGGGGTCCAAAGATGGACTTTAGATCTTCTTTCATTCCTGGCTATATACTATACAATCTGATTGTACAACCTCCTTTAGAGCTACCTAGGCCTGACTTAATGCAAATGTTTGTTTTCATCTGACATACTTTTGGTAAAGGAGATTGTATGATCAGATTGTATAGTGTATGGCCAGCTGATGATCTGCCTGTCATAACCAATCCAGCCTCCTCCTCCTTTCTAGATTCATCAGTGTCTGCACAGTAATGATGGTGACCTGTCACATCAGTAATAGTAGTCAGAGGGCTGGCCTATGGCAGTCGTTTTTCAGTGACGGTGGACTTAGAGTTGACAGTGTATAAGTTTGCATGTTGATTTGCTGTAATGGAATCGGCCACCATCTGCAGTTGCCTGTAATGAGTCCACTGAGGGCTGACCCTGTGACAGGAGTTGGTGGCAATGTAAGATTTGCAGTAGGATCTCTTCGCCTTCGCAGCAATCATTCTTTGTGTGCCCCCTATCCATACACCCGATGAGAACGTCATATACTCCTGCTGGATGGTCACTCTTTACAGAGATGGCAATGGCTTGATATTTATAACAGTACATGGCATGTGTTGATTGTTTGGAGTTTGGTATCAAAACATGACTGTGCTTGTTGGTAATCCTTGTTTGGAACTAAAAATAAATGCTGTTTTTTTTAATGATGACATAACTTTAACTGTGTAACAATAGAAGATCATGGGAAAAAAATGTCTATAAGTGTTTCTAGGAATACAGTATCATCAAACGGCTAGATGTACCTTAAAAAAAACTGTTAGATTATGACAATTAAAACAACTGCTAGATGATGACCCTTAAAAAAAAAAAAAAAAAAAAAAACCTGCTAGATGAGGAGCCTTAAAAAAACAATCTGCTAGATGAGGAGCTTAAAAAAATAAACCTGCTAGATGAGGAGCCTTAAAAAAAAAACTGCTAGATGAGGAGCCTTAAACAAACTGCTAGATGAGGAGCCTTAAACAAACTGCTAGATGAGGAGCCTTAAACAAACTGCTAGGTGAGGAGCCTTAAAAAAGAAACTGCTAGATGAGGAGCCTTAAAAAAGAAACTGCTAGATGAGGAGCCCTAAAAAAAACTGCTAGATGAGGAGCCCTAAAAAAACTGCTAGATGAGGAGCCTTAAAACAAATGCCAGATGATGAGCCTTAAAAACAAAAAAAAAAAAAACAAAACTGCTAGATGAGGAGCCTTAAAAAAACCAACCTGCTAGATGAGGAGCCTTAAAAAAAACCCTGCTAGATGAGGAGCCTTAAAAAAAAACCCTGCTAGATGAGGAGCCTTAAAAAAACAACCTGCTAGATGAGGAGCCTTAAAAAAAAAAACCTGCTAGATGAGGAGCCTTAAAAAAACCCTGCTAGATGAGGAGCCTTAAAAAAAAACCTGCTAGATGAGGAGCCTTAAAAAAAAC